ATGCAGTAAGTGACCATTGACAAACGCAGTGACCATTGAGTGACAAACACAGTAAGTGACCATTGAGTGACAAACGCAGTAAGTGACCACTGAGTGACAAACGCAGTAAGTGACCATTGAGTGACAAACACAGTGACCATTGAGTGACAAACACAGTGACCATTGAGTGACAAACACAGTTAAGTGACCATTCAATGACAAGAGACCATCGAATAAAATGTTTTTGATATTTTAATGGCGAGCTGTTTTCTGTTTCCAGATGCCATGGCTCTGCGGAGATGCCACCATGATGGAGATGATCGAGAAAAAAAGAATTTTGTGTCGAGAGATTAAAGCTCGTCAGAGGCCTGAGAAGAATCTTTGTAAACAGGACAGTATGCCCATCCTGCCCAGCTGGAAGAGGAAGCAACCGCCACCATATTCTGCCCCACCCACTGCCACCGCAACTGGACAGACCACGGTGTTCTGGGACACAGCCATCTGAAATACACTACAACACAGAAACAATGAGAAGGATGATAATAATATAATAATGATGATGATACAGCCATCAGGCTACAGCCACAACACTGACACCTCTACCAAAACTAGATTTTCTTCTAGCTGGTTTTCTCTCATTGTTTTGATTGACAGTATCTGATGACGCTTCACTACTGTCAATAAAATGTCATTAAAGTTACTTACTTACTTATACTTACGTAATGTTCTTTAGCACCAAAAGCTGTTAGCGTTTACACATCAGGAATAAATTAAAGAGATTGATCATTGCATATACCCTCATTTAGTTGTGTGTATCTGGTTATAGACAAAATACTGACACTTTCAAAGTAAAGCACAGAGAAACACATACAGAAAAAGAGACTCTTGTCAAAGAGAAGCAAAAAAGAAACCCAATAACTACCAGATATAACAACATGATTTTATACAGTTTCAAATATTCTCTATAATTAGCAATTAATTTAATTGTTAAATTATTTTTTTCTTTATCAACTAATAAAACTGTCAACTAAACAATGACATTTATTTGTAATCATGAATCAAATAAATCTTATAAATAGTTTTATTAATGTCACATGAAACAACCTCAAGTGGGTCTCGATCCAGATGTTGAGAAAACCAGATGTTGAGAAAATCAGCAGAAAGATAAAACACATTGATAAATCTGAAAATTGACTTGAAAAACACACACACACACACACTATTCTCCTGCCGTCCAATCAGAGCGCAGGCAGGGGTGGCCATACAGGTGTAGCAGAGCTTTCTGTCATTATTTTTCTATCTGACCACTGAAAAAGATTCAGATGTTTTTTAAGTCTGACAGTCGTGTAGCAGAAAGCTGTAAAAAGAAAAAAGAATTTATAAACTCTTCTCTGTGTGAAAAAAACAATCTGAATCTGTCGGTCAAACATGTCTTTTATATTTAAAAAAGAATCTGTGACGATTGTCTGTGTGTGAAAGAAAAAGTCAGTAAGTGATGTTTTTATATTTAAAAATCTTTTATTATGATGAAAAAGCACTATTTTAAAATGAGAATATTTTGGCATGTTGTTGATTGGTTTGGTCTCATCCACTGTCCCAGAAACACAGACTGGATTCCACTTTGAATCATCTGATACTGCTCTGATACTGATGTTTAATTCAAGACAGTTTGTTTCACTTTCTGATGATTGAAAAACATTAATGATCAGAAAGACTATCAACCACTGTTACTGTTCCACATGTTGTCTAAGCATCTGATCAGACAGAGACACACAACTAGAAACACAACGCCTGTAAATCTGTTTTTTTCCTGTGGAACAGCATGCCTGGCCTGCACATCTCTGTTGCACTGCAGTGTTCTAGCAGTTTTAAGATGCATAAAAGTTTAAATAATTTCAACTTTTAAGTGCAGGGCATAGAGTTGCTTGTCAATGTCATGACCCAGACAGGCTGTTTTGATGCTGTTTGATAGCCTGCTAGCTAGCTGTTGGACTGTGAGAGTGGTAGGGTTAGCAGCAGGGCGTAGTGGGATAAAGTAACCTCAGTTATCACGTCTTTGGAAGGAAGTTAGAGTTTACTCATCTAGAGCTCAGCATGTTGTCTGGTCACCCGGGTTGCACACACTGCGTCTCCATAGGCGCACCGGCTGTTTTTTTACTGACACTCTGTGCTGAGCCGTTTCTGAAGTGGTGGTTGAGTGGTTTTTCCCACAATAACATTATTTACATATACTTTACTGTATGTTGACATTGGCCTGTTTCGAATGAAACAAACACACATGCACACATGCCGACCTTTGAACTGGCCTTGAACCAATAGTAACAACTGTATCAACTCAGCTGTTTTAGATTGAATGTTTTCTTTTTGTCTTCAATCAGAACGCTGTGACGGTCCCTGTCTAGTGTTGATGTGCTGATGTGGTTGACCAGTTATTGTTTTTCCTATGTGTCCTTGAAGGTACCATCAGCAGAGTACGGATTTGGAGCACCTGGTTCAGGCGCTCCTAAAAGGATAAAAACCCAGTCTCAACTTTGCTCTGGTCTCTCCCTCATTCGGCTGCATCCCCGCCAGCAGCAGCAGCACATTCTCTTTGTTTGGTTTCTGCTTTGTTTTCACTT